AAAAAAGAAACCAACCTTTGTCAATGATGGTTTTTCTGGTACTCCCTTGATATTTCAGTGTGGAGAGACCAAAAATGATTAATAAAACCGGGCAAGTGTTGGAGGTAAAAACACAGGTAAAGGTCAATGAAAACTACCCCTCACCACATCGGCAAATCTAAGGGCCCTCATTTCTATCACCCAGCCCATCAGTTTCCCCCAAACCAAAGCCTATTTCAGTAGCAAAAAAAATCCCCTTGTCTGATAAACAGCACTTAAACCCGCCTGTCACATGGAAAGGTTAAACCACAGTCTGGGCCCTGGGCCCTGGGCTGTGAGGTCCTTGGGCGGAGCCTGCCTGCCTGCCTGCCTGCCAGGGACTGTCCCCTGCAAAGTCCCTGTGTCCTCACTCCCTTTGAGCAGCAAGTTGGCCATCTAGGACCCCACCGCCTGCTCACGACTGTGTGTCCTGGGATTCCCTCACTCCATAGCTGCATATTATCCCTCTTCCCCCAGTTTGGTCCATCTGTCCATTGTTGGAGGGGAAGTTCAAGCAGGGAAGAGAAGCTGAACAGTTCGATTTAGCAGCACCCTTTCTTCCCCATGCTAGTGTTCATTTGCTCCTGGATGATTCCGCAGAGCGGGGCGCAGGGCAAAGTAACCCCGATGCTGTCTCCCCACAGTCTCCTCTCCCACGGTGGGCAAGCCCTACAAGTGCAACTACTGTGGCCGCAGTTACAAACAGCAGAGCACCCTGGAGGAGCACAAGGAGCGGTGCCACAACTACCTACAGAGTCTCAGCACTGAAGCCCAAGCGTTAGCTGGCCAGCCAGGTGGGGCTGCGGGCAGCATCGTGGGTGCGTTGCGGGGAGGAGGGCCAGAGAAGTGCGGGGCAAGGGGAGTCCAGCACCTCCTCCCACAGAGGCCTTGGCATGTGGAACAGGGCATGGTTACTCTCAGTAAATCTACCAATCACCCCATGCTAAGTACTCCAACTGGTGCAGGGCAGTGGCCTGGGGTAGGTGCTGTAGTGAGATCCAGAGGTAGAGGAAGTTTGGGTCTGTATCCTCAGACTACACTTGATCTTAGCCAAAGGCCAAGAAGCGATTGTATCCTCAGACTAATGTGAGAGAGAATACAAGGAATATAAAAGCAAGAGTCCTAGCTGGGCGTGGTGGTTCACACCTGTAATCCCAGCACTCCCCGGGAGGCTGAGGCAGGAGGATCCTTTCGAGTTCGAGACTAGCCTGGGCTACAAAGTGAGCTCACACACACACACACACACACACACACACACACACACTTGCTTCTCTCAAGCATTTGTTGTGCAGTTCCTCTTTGTCTGCTGGGCAGAAGGGCAGCGCATCTGCCTCCCCTCCCTGTGCACCCCCTTGGCTGTCCTGGAAGAGGCGCTGTCGCCTGCCCCCCCACGGTTCTCCAGCCCCCTCCCCAGCACATCCCAGCGCCGAGCCTCCCATCTCCGCTCTCCCTCGCTCTCCGACAGACACACACTCTCTCCGCACACACACACCCTGCTTCTGCAGCCGTGGGCCCCTGCTCACCGTGCCGCTGCCGCTGCCTGCGAAATGACGGCGGTTCCCCTCACTTCCAGGAATCCACGCTTCCTGGAAGGTGAGTGGCTGGGCTCACCCCTGCCTGCCACCGAGACGCAGACATGCACACACCGCCCGCACTCCCTCGCCGTTTCCAAGGCGGCGGCCGCGTTCGCACCCCAGGGTCTCACCCGCCAGGGAAGGATAATGTAAGTTCAGGCAGAAGGCGGCTAGCGGAGGGGGCAGGGGGGCCGGGGCCGGGAGCCGATTCAGTCCGACTCCCGAGCCGGGAGAGGGGGAGACGGGGGCTGTGTGCAGCGGGGGAGGGGGCGTTCCTCCTGCACTCGCGGAGGATGGGAAGGGTGTTTGGTGTTGCTAAGGGAAGACGGTGACTTGGACAGTGGGAGCTTGTGGTGACATCTTGATTAGGCCTTGGGGACAGAGGGAGAGCTGCCTGGGGTGAAATGCCGAAGCAGGCCCGGGTGGGAGGGGTGGCAGGGAACTGGGGTAAGGGAGCGGGGCCCTGCCCGCCGCTGCCTCAGCCCGGAGCTGAGGTCTGAGGGGCCCGAGCCTTCGCCCCACAATAGAGCTGGGGATGGGCGTCCCTGCGCTGTGCGCGCACGGCTCCTGCCGCGGCAGAGCATCCTGCTGCGGGGAGCCCGCGGTCGCGGAGGGAGAACAGGGAGGATGCGGGGACGTGTGGAGGCTCCGGGAGCTCAGGGCTGTTCCCCAGAGGCGGCCACTCTGCGGGGATCGCGGAAGGGCAGCCAGAGCAGAGGGCTGGGCTCCTCCAACCTGTGAGGCACATTTCCCCGCGCTGCTGCCCAGTTCCGCCCCTCCCGCCCTGCTGCCCTTTACCGGCGCCCAGTTCCTCGAAGGGGAACCTTACCATTTGGCTTTGCCCTCCGGGGCGCAGCTAATCTGTGCTGACTTTGACCAAGGAAATTTCCCCGGGACCTGAGAGCAGCCTAGATTCTTGGCTTCGACAGTGTGGGATTTCTTGTGAGTCCCAGGCATTTGAAATTCCCTCACTGGCGTTGCTGGGGCTGAGAGAGGAATTGCTGAATTTCCTAAATCTCACTCTAGTCTCCTTCTCCCTCTGGCTAGGACTCGAACGAAATCCCTGCAGCCCCACAAAGATTTTTCTGGTCCCTAAAACAGATTCATTCTTATGTTTTAGTCCCATGAAAGTAGACGTGAGCCTGTTTTCCCTCTTACCTTCATCCTAGGGAGGACGCCGGCCTCCAAGGGCCTCTGCAGTTACTGGTGGGCCTCAGGCTCCTGCTCTGTCACCTGTTTGAAGGCCTCACTTGGGAGAGCCACAAGGGATGCTCGCCCCTCATTGTCCCCTCGCGTCCCTTTGAGGATATTCTTCCCCAGAGAGCACGCCCCGAGCTGCAGCAGGCAGCCCCAGCCCTAGGAAGCTGGCGGCGGTGATAGATTTCCAGCGAGCTCACTGGTCCTTTGAGGGTCGAGGCCTGAGCACCAGGGCGCGAAGCCCTGTTTTTCCCCCTGCTGACATCAAATGATGTGGAGCAAGTCGGCGCTGCCCTCTGAAGAGGAGTAAGGAGGCGCCCTTTGCACCCCTCTCACCTTAGTAAACCCCACACTCAGCTGAAAGGACATACTCTGAAGTGAAGTCTGAGTCTACACACCTTCACCCACAGTCCGGAGCTGCTCACTCCGTGATATGTGTGTAGTTCTGATTTCAGGCAACTTTGTCAGGAAATCATTGCTCAACTAAAGAGCCCCAGCTGGGAGGACTCCGACTCAGGCCATAAGGCTGCTTCTATAGGTTGTGAAGAAATTTCCTCAGGCTTTGACGGGGTAGAATGGGGGAAAGGGGACTGGTAGAAGAGGATATGAATGGGGAATGGTCCCAAAGTCCTGAGTGGTTGTTTTCTTCCCACTGACCAAAGCTGGAGAGGGATCCCTCAGGAGGGTGTGTTCCGGATTTCTTGCCTCAGGCCCAAGACTCCAACCATTTTATAATGGAATCTTTATTTTGTGAAAGTAAGTATGTACAGAGTTGGGCAATTGGGTAAAATACTAATAGGTGGACCTAGGGATGAATTGTAGGGTTTCTCGTGCCTCTCTCTCTCTTCTCTCTCTCTCTCTCTCTCTCTTTCTCTCTCTGTCTTACTTAGGCCTGTGTGCATACATCCATGCATGTTCATAGATAACATAGAGGCTATGGATATGTTTATCCCATAGATATGTTCTCTTTATGTGTATCTATCTATGTGATATGTGTCTGTATGTTTGTCTACATGTGTTCCTATTTCACTCATATTTGTGCAGAAGATTGTGGGGAGGAGGGATTTTTTTAAAAGACAGTCATTTTCAGGTATGTTATCTGATTTTTAAAAGACATGACACTCTCAAAAAATATTTTTTACAAAGCAATTTTTTACAAATTAAAATGAATATATTGAGGATAAGCATTATTTAACTTCCAAGGAAATACCAAATAGTAAATATATGATTGGAACCAAATCACTAGAAAGGTTTCCAGAGTAGTCAAATTTTTCCTGGATTTAGGAAGTCCGGCTGGGCATGCTGGCGCACACCTGTTAATCCCAGCATTCTGGTGGCTGAGGTACAGAGTAAGTTTGAGGCCAGCCTGGGCTACATAGTGAGTCCAAGGCTAGACTAGATTACATACTGAGAACCTGTCTCAAAGAAAGAAAAGAAAAAGCCGAGCATGGTGGCATACGCCTGTAATTCCAGCACTTAGAAGGCTGAGGCAGGAGGATCGTTGTGAGTTCGAGGTTAGCCTGGGCTACAAAGTGAGCTCAAGGCCAGCCTAAACTGCATAGCGAGACCCTGTCTCAAAAAGACAGACAGACAGACAGACAGAAAGAGGAAAGAAAAGAAAAGAAAAGAAAATCCAGTAGGCCACCTCTCCTCCGCTGACAGGTGGTGTCTCCCAACTGGCCGTGTAAGTGGTGGCTGCAGACATAGGCACTCGCTGTCTGTGACCAGCTCCCAGCTCCACGACCACCAGCTGTGCGACCTTAGACAAGTGACATAACCTCTTCTGTGTCTCCTCATTGAAAAGCTTACGTTAGCATACGTCAGAGGGTCGTAGTGAAGCCCAGAGGAGATCACTGAAGTGCAGAGAAGGATGCCTGGCACGTAGTCGGCACCCTTAAATACTAGCTGCTGTCCTGATGATTACTGATAGTATAATTAGAGCCAGGGACAGTTTCAGCTGCCCTTCCGACAGATCCCAAAGCTGGTGCTGGGGGCTACAGCGCAGAATGGTAGGGAAGAAAGTCTGCCCCAAGCCATCGTCCTGCAGGCCCCCGTTCGCTCCACCTGGCCCGCCCGGCCCCAGCCCCGCTTCCTGCGGAAGTCAAGCAGTGATGCTCTTCCCGTCAGGCCTACATAAAGGTAGGGCAGGCGAGGCCCAGCCGCTGAGCTCACAGAAGGCAGGCTAAGCACTGGGCTGGAGCGGGCACAAGGTATGGTGCCTAGCACCAGCAATGCCTTGGACATGGCTATGGAATAAATGTTTGTGAAATTCAACTGAATTTTTTAAAAGCTTAGTCAATGGACAGTAGATGGCTCCAACTCCAGCTTTACCTGCCCTCTTGTTCTCTCCTCCAAGGTAGCGGGGACTCATCTCTGGAGAAGGAGTTCCTCGGGGCCCCAGTGGGGCCCTCAGTGAGCACCCCCAACAGCCAGCACTCTTCTCCCAGCCGCTCCCTCAGTGGTAAGTGCCACCCCGTGCCCCCACCCCACCCGCACACTAGGCGCCCTCATTTTTGTTTGCCCGTCAAGTCTCTGCAGGCTGGCAGCGCTTTCCCCACCATCCCCTCCCTCTGGTTTCCTGCCCGGTCTCTAAAATTGCAAGTAAGCTCACTGTCTCGGGCTTTCATGACTTCTGGAAAAACAGTGGGTAGTCATTGCCAGACTAGGGCGGGAACTAAAAGGGGCATGGGTGGCATCACCATAAAAGCTCCAAAAAGAAACCCCTGCTGGGCGGGCATGGTGGCACATACCTGTAATCCCACCACTTGGGAGGCTGAGGCAGGAGGATCACAGCCACTTCGAGGCCAGCTTGGGCTGCATAGTGAGTTCAAGGTCAGCCTGAACTAGTGAGACCCTGCCTGAAAAAGGAAAAAGAAATGGTGATTAGGTGGAGGGGACAGGAAGAAGGCCCTCCCTGAACCCCCACACCCCATTCTCCCGCTCGGGCAGGGGCCCCTGAATGCCCCTCTCCTCCGCGGGCCCTAGAGCTGTGACATTCTCTAAATGGTTGGGATAGCCAGGAATGTAGGTCAGAGCTGGAGCCAGAGGCTTCTCCTCATAGCTCCTCCCCAGGACCCCCTTCACATGGGCCCAGCTCAGAACGGGGGTCCACTCTGATGACCTGGGAGGCTAGCGGGAGCCATGACTATCTTTCAGTTTCGCTCCCTCTCTAGCCGGTTGTCCCCCTTCAGTCTCCCGAGGGCTGTTTTCCCGCCACCTTCTCTTGCTGGCTTCCTGCCCAGGGCCAGGCAGACATCTTAAGGACAAGAGATTGGAGAAAAGGCCCCACACTGCCTCCTCTCCTCAGTGACCGTAGATACCCCACGGACCCCAGCTCTTCTCTCCCGAAGCCCACTTGCCCGGTGGGTGGGAGAGAAGGGGAAGGTCTTCGGGTTCCAGCAGGACTCTGGCGTCACCACGGGGGATGCCACAGTGACGGCCTCTTTTAAGGCCCGGCTGTCCCAGGGCCTGGAGACGCGGCTTCGCGCCTCAGGAGCGCGGCTCCCACTCGCGGGCGGCTCCCGCTGTGCCCGTCTCTGTTCTAAACGCCATCCCGCCCTCCAGCCAACTCCATCAAGGTGGAGATGTACAGCGATGAGGAGTCGAGCAGACTGCTGGGGCCCGACGAGCGGCTCCTGGAAAAAGATGACAGCGTGATTGTGGAAGACTCGTTGTCAGAGCCCCTGGGCTACTGTGACGGGAGCGGGCCGGAGCCGCACTCCCCTGGGGGCATCCGGCTGCCCAATGGCAAGCTCAAGTGCGACGTCTGCGGCATGGTCTGCATTGGCCCCAATGTGCTCATGGTGCACAAACGAAGCCACACGGGTGAGTGAGCAGCAGCGGGGTCCGGGAGGAGCTCAGGGTGGCGGTGAGGGGCAGAGCAGAGCCTGGCCAGGGGCAGTAGAGGCCTAGAGCAGGCCGCACTGCAGCAGAGAGGCCTCGGAAGGGAAGAGTCTCCCAGCACATTTTTTGGGTGACAACAGAACAGAGAGCCGGGCGTGGTAGTGCACACCTGTAATCCCAGCACTCAGGAGGCTGAGGCAGGAGGATCGCTGAGTTCCAAGCCAGCCTAGGCTACACAGTGAGACCGAGTCTCAAAAAAAAAGCGGGGATTGGAATTTGGATTCCCCTCAACATCTGTACTTCTCTGACACTTTCCGTAGCTGTTGTTACAAAGAAAAGCTAATATTTTTCTTAGGATGTGAGAGGAGCCTGGTGTGGTAATTGTGCACCTATAATCCCAGGACTCTAGGAGGCTGAGGTAGGAGTAGCTAGCACACGTTCAACCCCAGTCTGGGCAGTTTAGGAAGCCCCTGTCTCAAATACAAACTACAGAAGGGGTGGGAATGTAGTTCAGTGTGAAGATGCTGGGCTCAATCCCGAATACTGACAAGAAAATAAAAACGAAAGAAAGAAAAAAGAGAGGGATGTGTTGCAGAACAAGAGGGGTCTTTGGGGCTGAGGGGTACTTCAGTGGCGGGTATGTGCTCAGCATGGACGAGGCCTTGGGTTTGACCACCAGCACCAAAAAAATAAATAGATAAATAAAAAAGCCAGGCACAGTGGCTCGTGCTATAATCCCATATAATACCTCAGGGAAATGGAAGCAGGAGGATCACAGGTTCAAAGCCTGGGCAATTTAGCAGCTTCCTGTCTCAAAATAAATATAAAGGGTTGGAGCTGTAGCTCAGTGGTAGAGCACCCCTGGTTTCCATTCCTAGTACTAAGAAAAAAAAAAAACAGAAAGAAGAATCCTGTAGTCTAACAGGAGTAGGACTCCTGGGTATTGTTTGGTTCTCCCATAACTTGAGAGAGACAGACAGACAGAGACACAGAGATGCAGAGAGACAGAGACAAAGATACAGAGAGAGCGAGATAGAGAGGGACAGAGAGACAGAGAGAGAGATAGACAGCAAGACACAGAGACAGACAGAGACCTCCTTCCTGGGCCTACTCAGACTTCGAGCTGACGGCAGAGGGGACCCTGTGACGCTCAGTTTGGGCGACTGCCTTCTGGCCCGGTGTTCTGGGGCCGGTACTCCTAGCCTGCCGTAAACCTCTCACCCGCATCTTCCAGGGTAGGACCGTTCCCTAGTGACCCTTGTAAAGCAGCATTAGTGTTTGTGGCACGTTCCTGGCACGTTCCTGCCCTCAGCCACGTGAGCAGGGGGGAGGCTGGGTTCAGTCGCCGACGTTCCTCACCCCCGGCCCTCTGGCCTCTGTTCCTTCACTTGCAGGCGAGAGGCCCTTCCACTGCAACCAGTGCGGTGCCTCCTTCACCCAGAAGGGCAACCTGCTGCGCCACATCAAGCTGCACTCTGGGGAGAAGCCCTTCAAATGTCCCTTCTGCAACTACGCCTGCCGCCGGCGTGACGCACTCACCGGCCACCTCCGCACACACTCAGGTCAGTGGCCATCCGGCTGGAGAGAGACAGTGGGCTCAGGGACACCGGGAAATGCAGCGCAGAAGTGTCTGCGGCTCTGGAGAGACTTGCAGAGCAGATCTAGCTCTGCCTCTCTAACCTTCTCTGGGAGGTAGGGCCCAAGAGGAGCCGGGGTGCTTATTTATTTATTCTTATTTATTTAGGTGCTGGGGATGGAGCCCAGGCCCTTCGCTCTGAGCTATAGCCCCTGCCCTTTTTTTTTTTTAATTTTTTATTTTAATTTTTTTGAGACAGGGTCTTGCTAAGTTACTGAGTGCCCAGGCTGGGCTCAAACTTCCTCAGCCCCTCAGAGTGCTAGGAGTATAGGTATGTGCCGCCACCCTAGCTTTGGGGGGCTCTTTGTAGGGTAATTTACTGCCGCACTCTGAATGGAGCAAAAGGAACGTGGGCAGTGTTCTTTTCTTTCTTTCTTTCTTTCTTTGTTTTTTGAGACAGGGTCTCATTATATAGTTCTGGGTGGCCTTGAAGTCACTATGTAGCCCAGGCTGGCTGCAAACTTACAGCAATCCTCCTGCCTCAGCCTCCTGAGTGCTGGGATTACAGGTGTGCACCAGCATGCCCAACTGACTTTTGTTTTTTAAGGACTGTGATGATGCCAGTACCATCTGTCCCCCATTGTCCCCTACTTCTGAGCCCGTGGAAGCCCCCTTCACATTCATCTGCCCTAGGCCCATAGCTGTCACCGTCTTCACCGGCATCTCCTAATACCAGGGGTCTTGGGCAACTACTAGCCGTCCTCGCCTCTTCTTTTTACTGATTCCTATAAATGTCCCTGAGCCTTTGAAATGGGGAAAGGGGAGAAGAGCATCTCATTTCATTCCTCTACCCCGAGAGGTTGTCCCTTTGCTGGAACAGGAGCAAGCCAGAGTATTTGGGATCCGTGTGTGGGCCAGTGTGGGGACCGGGCTTAACAAGGTTTCCTAGCCCAGCCTGGCTGTATGAATCCGTATCGGTTGGAATCAGCTGGACAAATAGCACTTGTCAGGCATTTTACTCAATTTTGGGCTTTTGACTTGGACTTGGGAAGAGGCCAAGAGCTGAGCTGGCAGGAAGGAGGGAGCTCAAGACTGAGGAAAGGCAGGAAGAGGGGAAGAGGGGAAAGAATGAGCAGGGTCTGTCCTCAGAAATTTTCCTGGCTGTTTCTCTTCTCCTAAGCTCTGCTGGGCCAAGACTTAAAGGGACAGAGCAACCCCTTCACCACCCTCTACTTTCCCTACCGTTTGCTTTGCTCCGGGTTTCCCCACCTTGTACTCGGGACCTTGTTCTCTCTAAGTACTTGGAGGGGCAGGGAGAAAGGTCACTCAAGCTGTATCATCTACAGAGCATTCCACGCGTGTCCCCTCGTGTGATCCTCACAGCAATTCCAAGAGACGGGATCATCCCATTTTGCTGGAAAGGAAACTGAAGCTGTGGGTTGAAAAATAAGTTGTAGGCCACACTGCTATTCTGCAGCGTAGCTGGGCCCCCATGCAAGTCTAGGGCTAGAGATCCTGCGTCTTTTTCTCAGAAAAGGGGTGGCTCCCCCTGCTGGTGTGGAACAAGGATAGGTCAGCCCCCAGAATTCCTACTAACAAGGTCGGCTGGGTAGATTTTGCATGTTGTCCTGTGGATTATTAAGTGCAGAAGCAGACACCGGGGTACTGTTAGGTCCCATCTCTGCGCACTGCCTCCTGTAAACCCACACTGTGAGCAAAGGAGGCTGGAGAATGACTCCTCGCTCGGGGTTCAGCCGTTTCCCCAAGGGTCTCGGGCGGCTCCAGGGCCTGTGTTCATCGTCCTGAAACACTGGGGTTGGCAGAGCAGGAGCAACATGCCAGTAGGTTGATTCAGTCGAGGCGCAGCCTTGGCATGAGGAGGGGGAGTGAATAACAGTTACCAGCCTCCTAGAGACACCTCCCGTCTCCCTGCCCAGTAGTGCCAAGAAACATGAAACATTCACTGCCTTGGTCTTCACTTTTCTCTCCTCTCTCACGTATCTCGAAAGAGTTGTTTTTAGAGCCAGGCCTGGTGGACAGGCCTGTAAGCCCAGCTGAGGCAGAAGGATCATGCGTTCAAACCCAGCCTGCTTTTTTCTTCAGTAGAAACAAGATCTATATAACCTACATTTAAGAAATAAACCACAAACCCGAACTTGGTGTTCTCTTCCTTTTACTCTTCTCCTTTATTTTCTTCTCTGTTCTTTTATTCTTTTTCTCTTTTCAAAAACCTGTTGTCAGGCCAGGCGTGGTGGCGCAA